GCTCCGAGCCAGCTCCCATGTCAGAGGATGAAGAGAGCACATCCAGTTAGTCACAGTCAGAGAAACAGGACTACACTGGAAAACAGGCCGGCCTAAAGTTCGATCTATAGTTAAACTATAGTTACCAGAGAGCCCAAAGGAAGTCATATGTTTATTATCTGTTTTCTTCATATTCTTCCTATTCATGCTAAATTAAAAAAGGAACTGTTCTTTGTTTTTCTGTTATTCTATAAAATGAAATAATAAGAAAAGTTGTTTCTTGTGTTTTCATTGTTGGTTTGAATTTGAAAAGCGAATTAACAAATTATACTTGAATTAAATGAATCTGCTCTTCATTTAAATTGTGACTACAGATTTGAGAGAAATCAAATATCACTTTTTTTTACGTTTTGCATTTTAAAATTAGAATAATTGATGAAAACCAAGGTAAAGATTTTCTATATATTGTTTTAATTGTAGAAAAACTACATAAAGTAAAGGAAAACTTTCTTTTTTTTTCTCTTTTTATCAGATTAAAATAACCATTTTAAAATGAAAAATATTGAGATAATTTGGGTTCAGATTTATGGAATAAGGTCAAATTAGAGCTGAATCATTTAAATTTATTTCTGCTATACTGGTTTCTGTGATCCTGCTTCGCGTTCCTGCTGGGATTTCTCCCCTTTTTCCCGGTTTCAGGATGTAATGATCTGGATCTGTTCTCCCTGCAGTCTGTCCCACCATCTGGACCTGAATGAGACAGGGATGGTTCTGATGGAGGTGGGTCTACTCAGCGGCTTCAGCCTGCGTCCGGACCTCATCGAACTGGACGGCGCCTTAAAAAAAGTGGAGACGCAGCCGGGGAAGGTGGTCCTGTACCTGGACTCTGTGAGCTGGAACCCAAACAGTCTCTCTCAGGGGTTGCTGGTTCAGTCTGGGCTCCTGAGCCAACAGCAGGTTTCTGGTTCTGTCTGCAGGTCACGACTCACGAGACGTGCGTGTCGATTCCTCTGATCCTGGAGTTTATGGTGGCTAAAGTCCAGGAGGCCACCGTCACCATCTATGACTACTATGAACCCAGTAAGA